ATTTTGTTAAGTGTATCAAACACAGCACACATTTTTGTGGTCTTGTGTGAAGAGTAAAGATAAGTTTTGATTTATGTATTATTGGTGATAAACTTTGTACTTTTTACTATCAGAGCTAAGATTTGGTTTTGGTATTTTATACAAACAGAAAATCATACAGGTTTTGTTTTTCACAGTCTAGAGCATCGCTCAAAGTCATCTCATGACTGCACTGTTGAGGATCAGCAAGTTAAGGTACAAATACCTGCACAGTTTTACGTGCATATAACCCATAATTATTTAAGGATGGATTTGAGGGAAACTGTGTGAGATAGGTATTGGAAAATATGATCCTTTAAATGGATAACTCTTAATTAACTTCCTCATGTTTGGGGACCCAAAATATTATACTGAACAACAACTAAACAGCTTGGTGTGGCTCAAGAGGGGGAAGTGGGAGACAAAGTGCTCCACTGAAACCTAAAAGGTCAGCCCCATGTACTCCTGGATGGAGGCGCGGTGGCCTCATGGTTAGTGCACTCGACTCTGGATCAAGTGGTCCAAGTTCGTGCCCCGGCCGGGACATTGTATTTTGTTCTTAGGCAAGACACTTTACTCTCACAATGCCTCTCTTCACCCAGGTGTATAAATGGGAACCTGCAATTTAATGCTGGGGGTAACCCTGCAATGGACTGGCATCCCATCCAGGGGGGAGTAGAAATACTCCTAGTCACATCATGCTACAGAAACTGGAGTTAAGCACCGGCCACTAGGCTCGTAAACAGACTTTACCTTAACCATGTACTCCTGGATTTTTATGAGCTAGAGAAAACCTACCACCAGGGTGGTACACCCACTGGTATGGAGGAGGGAGTTGGGCCTCCTCCTAGGGCCGACTGTGACCGTTCCTGGGTAGATATGGAAGGTGCACAGACTGATATAGGGGAGGGAGTTGGGCCTCCCCTCAGCGTTGGCTGTGACCAATCGTGGGCCTCCCTAGGGCCCACTATGCTATACGTACATTCCAGGAGTACAAAATATTGAGTCTATGGGGGCAAAAGTGTGACAAGAGGAGCACTTCATCCCCATTCCCAATGATTTATTTATAAGACACAACTGACTCCATAGGAGAAGTGCAAAAATTAGCTAAATAGATGTCATATCGTCGCCTTGAGTTGAAAACACCTAGCTGAAAGGGACATCAATGTGTTGACACAGAAATTAATTAGGACTTTAAGATAACTTGCTTACAATAATACAGCCTTCAAAAGTTACTAAGTCATACAAAATTATATATATATATATAATCCCTACCCCAGTCCTGTAGAAAATGATTATTACTTGACGGCTTTAATTTCTTCGCAAGTCCAATGTCCAATGAAACAGAATAAAATAAAGTGTTGGGTGGGATGGGAGGGAATTTGAAAAGAAAACTTCACAACCGAGATTGTGCTCAGCCTAGAAGAAAAAACACAATGATGAAGCAGGTGGGAATGCAAGTTATTGAACATTTCAGAGTGACGTGTGATTGGTCAAATAAACAATGAAGGGTTCATAAGTTCAGCTCACGAGGTTGCACGTGAAAATTACTGGGCATCGGACAAAGCTCAAACACGAGTTGTCGATTAACTAAAATTTATTTCTGGTGATTAATAAATTAAGATTCTATTGATTGTCGAAAATGATTCTAAAAAAGTTTAACTGATTTTATCACCATGCTTTTTTCTGCATTGCTGTTGTTTGCTAACCTTGCTTCATTTTAGAGCATTGATTAATTTTAAGAAAAGTCAATGGTTGTCATTTTTATTAGCTGCAGTTTTAAGAGTTATTGATGTACAACAAGAATAGTTTACCATTTGTTACAGGAAAATGCATCAAAGACTTCAGTTTCAGATGGTCACTTAGAGTGTTCACTGAGTGAGTGCAACTGTCGGGAGTTGGTTCCAGTGTTATGCAAACATTGTCACAAAAACTACTGCCTCAGGTGAATTTGCCAAGCTTCATCCATCAGCCATTAATGCAAAAAAGTAACAAACTTACTTGTAACTCACTGTAGCTATGAATTCAGGGAATCATTTTGAAAAACACCTAAACGATCATAAGAAGAAATGCATATGTGCCTACATGTACAAACAAAATTGGCAATGTGTCCTCCACAAGCTTGATCAAACCTCTCCTTCACTCTTCACGGCCAATTTTAGTTTCACTGTCAATTTTAATTTTTTTTTTAAGGGATTAACTCTGGTATTTACTATTTTGAACCCAAGCTGTTACTGGCATTCTGTAACAAAAAGCTCTAAGCTTATGAATAATTTGTTGATATCTTTATCCTAAGCAGAGCAGAAAACATTTCAATTTTGCTTTTTTGCCTCCATTAGCCTCAATTGTTTTTGAAAAACAAGTTGGGGATAAAACAAAACATTTAGGCATGTCATATGCCTGCCTTGTGTGTGTCTTTCATAAGAGTGACTGCTGACCAGTCATGTTCTTTATCACAGGCATAGGCATCAGGTTGATCACCATTGCCCAGGTCTTCCTCAGAAACAGCCCAGAGTGACTCCTGAGCAAAGAATACAACAAATCATTGGTACAGCCACTTGATAGAGCCAGGTTTAATGAAGAAAATTCCAGTTGAACCCGTATTAAGCAACTCCTTATTTAGCAGTCTCCTTGAATTAATGGGTCACATTTGAAAGTCCCATGATTTTTTCTCCATAATTACTGTGATTTTTGCCTCTATGACACTGTAACCTCCATTAAGCAGTGGTGTTCACTCTTAACTAAGTCCCAACGGCTTGTTTGATGTATTCACCACCTGTATTGAGCAGTCACTAAAAAATGCAAAACTAAAAGTAATCTTTCAAGCAAAATTCAATACATGTTTTTCTCCCATAATCAGAGTTAGAGGTATTTTATAATACTCCAATTCTGTGGAACCTTTATTGAGCAGTTGACCATCATTCCCTGTGGGAGACTGACTGATACAGGTTTGAAAGTGACATCCAGGAAGAGCCGAAGGGACATCATTTTATGAACCACGTTTTGTCTGACTCCATGGCTTTAGCCCAGGCCCATAGACTGTCTATCCGTCACTTGAGATTTCAACACCTCCAAAGTCACTGTAACAAAGGTGTGACTGGGGTAGAAGTAATCTATAACAATGAATGCTCTGCCAGTACAAGTACTGGCTTTGCCTTTTTCTTATTAGTATTTGATTTTCAATATTTTGATGTCACCCAATACCTTAATAATAAATATTTTTAATATTTCAACAGGAAAAGATCTTTGCAAAGAAAAGAAGGGTATGTTTCTATAACCTCCTTATCAAACATCACTTCATCAAACAATTCTTTTTTTATTTTGTTTAATTTTGCATGAAGAGCCTTTTGTTTTGGTTGATCAAATTACCAATCAAATGTTATCAAACATGATTACAGCTGAAGCCATAAAACCTCAAGAGATGAAAGGAGAATGATTAAATTACATATTAGAATGATAATTTTACAACAATTTTAATCTTAGAGGATTAAGTTGTTGACCGTCATCTTTGTGTTTGTACCATTTTTGTTTAAGGTCGTGGGGGTGTGAGAAATGAAAGCCGGGCTGCCAAAGTGGCCTTGATGAAGATCAAGATGAAAGCTTCAGGAGATGGTTCAATTCCTCAGGTCTGTCAGGTCCAGTCCTAAGAAAGCTATTTTCAATAACATCATCATTCAGAAATATTCCACTTGCTTTTATTGTTTGTGCGTCACTAATTCACTTGTTTGGTTAAAAAATATGCCAGCAACACTACCCAATAAGATACAGAACTAAAAGCATTTGACTCCGTTTAATATTTTCTTTGTTCTGGTCAGCTTTTTGGATTGCCTTCACTTTAGTTTTACAAGACTCAGCCGTTCTATCTGCGTGCAACCCTTCAGCATTGAGATCACTCTTGACTCTGTGCAACATTAAGTGGCCTGGTGATTAACTTACAGGACAGATAAAGACCCTGTGGGTTTAAGCCCCGTATAGGGACATTGTATGGTGTACTCTAATGCCCCTAGCCACACAGATAAAACTAGGTGTTTGGAAACGTCAGAGGGACCTCATAGCGTAAGGGGTTACCTGTAATGGACTGGTATCTAGTCTGGTATGGTTAGCAATACTCCAAGTCACTTCGGCCCTCTTGACACTGTTCATAAGAATGAACAGTGTCAGATAAAAGGTTTAGCTGAATTGAGGATTATTTTAGGACGCAATTTTGATAAACAATGGCTAAACTTTTTTTTTTTTTTTTACAATTTGGATAAGGTTTTTATTAGTTTTGTAAGTTTGATAAGTGTCTTACTGTAATTTATTATCTGATGTAATTTTATATTCTATAATTGTTATGCGCATTTGATCATATGTATATGGAATTTGCGCACTACAAATATTAAACTATTATTATTATTATTATAAACAATCGGCCCTTAACGCCACAGAAACCAGGGAAAGTTTTGGCCGGTTTGGTGGGCCACCAGGTTTGTAACACTGAGCCTTAAATCATTAACTCCATTATTATTTTACAGTGAGAGCGGTTTTTTTTCTTTCTGTCGTTCGGCTCCATCCTCTAATCGCCACTCTGAAGCCAACTGGACAAACGCATCAGTTAACTTTCTGCCTTTTCGTTGTTCCAAATGTTATAAAAAGTCTAATTTGCTTTTTCGTAGGAGGAGAGAATCTATCTCAGAGTTCTCATGCCTCTTGGTAATAAAGAACGAGAACATCCAATGTTCTTCTCAAAGGTAAGTGCAACTCAGAAAAAGATTACGCTAGTATCTAGTGCTTTGTAAGCGTAAGAGTCGCCGAGAGCGACTCCAGCTTCTTTCGTGCTTAGCAAACCTCCCAAGTGCATCCATAACTTAAGAGTGTACGCTGTGGTGGTTACCATTTTTTTTTTTTTATAACATAAAAAAAAAACCAAATTCTTGCGAAACATTTTCTTACTTGGTTACATTTGCTCATGTCAACAGCATAAACCCATGGGCAAATAATAACCAGTGAAATGACCAATCAGAGCGCGCGCTTCACTTGATTTCTGTTGATTCTCTTGTTATTACGATAGTGTCTCTCGTTCTTGTGCACTGTTTCCTTTCGATTCTGTTTTCTTCTTTACGTTAGTATCTCGTGCATTGTTTCCTTTCCTTTTCTGTTTGTTTGTTACGATAATATCTCATGCACTGTTTAATTTCTTTCCTTTTTGATTGTTACGTTGGTGTCTCGTACACAGTTTTATTTTTCCCTCT